GCGTGACGTTCCCATCCTTCCAAAAATCAATGGACATCCTGGGATCTCAGGGTTGGGTTTCTTGTGGAAGGTTTCTTGTGGACGGGCGTCCTTTGCATCGGCGATGTATCGCCGATTCAAGGTTGCTTGTCCCCCCTTGCGTCGGGGGTTACTGGAGATGCCCCTTGCCGAAGGTGCAGGGCTGGACCTACACGTTGTTTGTCTGGACCTCTGCTCTGTTTTGTTTTCCGTCTTTGGCAGGGACGTACAGGAAAACAGGTAGGGCAAAACGAATAACAAAACGAAACCAAAGATGGCAACCGCCGCGCTGCGAGCGACAAGCGCAGCGGATCGCAGGAGTGCGCAGGTATCAAGCACGACACGTGCACAGACCACGGATCTGCGAGGCTGGCCCGGCTACATAGTGCAAGCCGGGCAACTACAACAGCCAATAAGATACACAATGTACAAGCGACGATGGAACACATTTACAAACAGTCTCCATGGATGCATCATGGATATGCCAACCAACCAGGAGGCAAACGGTACCAGAATCCCACCAGGCCTAGAGGGTCCAGCCCTGCCAAAGTGCCCCCAGCCTTTCGAGTAAACTCTTGACGCTTCGCGAATCCCCACCAGCACATCCAGAAACGATGCCCAGAAGAATTGCCTCGATCAGGGAAGTGGGCAGCACACTGAGGAAGCCATTATGAGACATCTTGGGATATCTTGAGCCATCTTGGAGGTCATTTTGGGTTCTCCCAGGCGCTCATGGCGTCACCTTAATCAGTGGCCCCCCCCCAAGAGGCCAACATGTGGCTAAAACTTTCGTGAAATCAATGATTTAGCATTCTCGCCGAGGCCTCTTGGAGCATCTTGGGTGCCTCTGGGGGGTCTCTTGGGGCCTCTTCGGGGTCTCTTGGGAGCCTCTTTGTGGCATCCTGGGGGCGTCTTGGGGCTTCCTGGCGACCTCTTGGGGCCCTCTTGGGGCACCCTTGGGGGGCATCTTTGGGCCATCTTGGGTGAGATCGATCACAGGAGGGGGGGTCTCTTTTCACAGTCTCCCCCTTAGGAGGCCAAAATGGAACCAAAACCATAGTAAAACCAATGATTTTGGCTTCCTCGCCGAGGCCGTTTTGGGCGCTCCGACGACTCGCGATACCCCCTGTCCAGGTCCATGGGGAGGGGGTAGGAGGAGGGGTCAAGACGCCCTCCCACCCGCCCTCCAAACACATACGTAGCACCCGACCCTGGCCCGATCCGCAGCATATGCAGCAGTCGTCTTTGGGTGGGCAGCTACTGGGGGCGAATCCGCCGCCGCCGCCGCCGCCGCCTCCGCCGCCGCCGCCGCCGCCCGCCGCCGCCGCCGCCGCGCCGCCGCCGCCGCCGCCGCCGCTGTCCGCCGCCGCCGCCGCGCGCGCCCGCCGCCGCCGTCCGCCGCCGCCGCCGCCGCGCCGGCCGCCCCCGCCGCCGCCGCCGCCCGCCGCCGCCGCCGTCGCCCCCCTGCCGCCGCAGCCGCTGCCGCCGCAGCCGCTGCCGCCGCAGCCGCTGCCGCCACCGCTGCCACCGCCGGCGCCGCCACCGCCGCCGCCGCCGCTGCCGCCGCCCCCGCCGCCGCCGCCACCACCGCCGCCACCGCCGCAGCCGCCGCAGCCGCTGGCTCCGCCGCAGCCGTCGCCGCCGCCAAGTGGACTCTGTATCGTTTTTGACAAGGATGGTGGTGGGAGGCCGCATCGGGTTCGCTGCGCATGCTCCGAATTTGGAGGCAGAGTGTATTTTGCATGGTTTTTTATACAAGGGATGGTGGGGGGGCCCGCATTGACCCTGGTTGGCTCCCAGTCGCCTGGGGGAGGGGGTGTACATTAATAGGGAACAGTGATAACCCCTTCCCGAAGGGGAAGAAGGAGGGGTGGAAGAGGAAACGCTCTAAACCATCGACGCCCAGAGGGCTGGTGGGATTTGGAGCCTCTGGGGCCATCTGGGCCTCGTGAGGGGTGCTCTGGAGGCCGTCGGGGACTCCTGGGATGTCCTGGGGGCATCCTGGGCCAGGGGTACTTCTGGCACCCACTGGCTCAGGGGGTGGCGCCAGCCACCGCTTGCCAGGAAGCAAGCCCAGATCTCGGACGGCATGGTGTCTCTTTTTACCAGTCCCGCCGTGTTTCATGCTTGCTTCTGCCTACGTGGCACGTCATATCTGGGCTTGGTTCGATTTCTCCGATTCGATTCGATTTTGATGGATTCCGACTCCGATTCGATTCGACTCAGGATTCCGATCCGGATTTCGGCGTCTGTGCCGATGGCTGCCGATTCGATTCCCCCCGACTCGGATGCCGATTTCTGCCGATGCGATTCCATTCGCCGATCCGATCCGTCGATCCAAGTGGCGGCGCGCAGAGGGGGGTAGGGGGAGGGGGGAAGGCTTCGTAGAAGGAGGCTGCTTCTTAGAAGGCGCAGGCCTTACATTTGTAGACAAGGCCCACGCCTTCTAAGAAGCAGGGGTGCTTCTAAGAAGCATTCCCCCCTCCCCATACCCCCCTGTGCGCGCCGCCAATCCACTCCTGGGCTCTCCTGCGTGTCGGCCCAGATCCTGGCCCGCAAGACGCTCCCCCGGGGACGGGCGCCCGGGGGGCTCCAGGGCCGCGGCCGGAGGCGGGTCACCCGGAGGAGTCGCGGTGCTGGAGCCCTCTTCGCGCGGGCGCGCTTGGGGGCTCTGCAGGTGCGCGGGCCGCAGGGGTCTGACTCATCGCCGGGCGTCTACGCCTCTCGGTTTGTCCCAGCGTCGCGCCCCGCGGGCAGCGGAGAGGCACGCTGTATAAGCGCCTGCAGGGCAGGGCGTGCAGCAGGGGCAGCTCAGCAGCGACACGCGCAGGGAGCTCCTGGCCTCGTGTGCACGAGCTCGGTTTGTCGGCGGTCCGCACGGGCCTCCTGCTTCTCCCTGTCAGTCCTCCTCCTCCTCCTCCGCCTCCGCCTCCTCCTCCTCCTCCTCCTCCTCCTCCTCCTCCTCCTCCTCCTCCTCCTCCTCCCTGTCCTCCTCTTCGTCGTCGTCCTCCTCCTCTTCCTCCTTCTCCTCCGCCTCGTCTTCCTCCTCCGTCTACTGATCCTCCTCATCCTCCTCCTACTCCTCCTCCTCCTCCTCCTCCTCCTCTTCTCCTCCTCAGGGTGCCAGGAGAACGCTTCCAGGTGCTGGATGCGTTACCGTTTGACCAGAAGGGGGGGGGGCCTTTAATTGCCGGCCTGGGTGAATCATGTTTTGCACCCACCTCGCAAGCCATGCGGCAGACCAGCTCGATGCGCGCCCCCGCCGCGCATTTCGCGCGGCGCGGTGGACGTGCCTTAGGCCGAGCTGGGCCTCTCGAAGTCTGCGGCGGCGAGCGAGAGGGGGGGGACTGAGAGGGAGAAGGCCTTCGCAGAAGGCGGCGGCGCTTCTCAGAAGGCCGCCGGCCATCCCAGATGTGCCCGGCGTCTCCGGGGAAGGTTTCGAACATCTTCAGAAACGGCCAGCGAGCTTCCGAGAGCCTGCTGAGAAAGACGGCCCGCCTCTTCTCCATCGCCCCCCCTGGGGATCCCCTCCGTTTCCGTGGGCGCCTTCCTGGGATTGACAGTGCCTCTTGGGAAGGCCGGCCCTTCTCCCCCGCCCCCCCCGGCTCGCCGCCGAGAGATGGCGGCTGGGATTCCAAGAGAAAACAACAACGGCGGCAGCGCAAACCGTCGTCCGAGCTCCTCGCGCGGGGCTCTCTCGAGGGCGCCGAATGGGCCCCTCCTGTGAGCGGCGCCGCGGGGCGCCGCCTCGCGCCGGCGCGGGCGCCGTCTCGTGCCGAGGAGGGGGGGCCCAGGGCGGATCCAACTAGATCCGCGCGGAGCGCCGAAAGTTCTCAGGAGGGGAAGGTACCCGTTCCGCTACCCTTCGGCCGATTTCCATTTGTTCGGCCTCCTGTGGGAGGCCCTCGTCGCCACCGCTGCATCCGCCTCGAGATTTCGGTCAGAGCGCAGCCCCGAGAGAGGTACGGGACATCGCGGTATCGGTATACCTCTTGTGGTTCCCCAACAGTTTATGTCTGCGCAGTTGTTCTTCTCTCTCTTTCTAGGTTTAGATCGAGCATGTCCCTCTACAGGGGAAATGTTCAACAACAAAAAGTCTGGAGACGATATCTATCTTGTTTTTGGCCATGTTTGAGCATCCTTTGACTATTTGTCATGTTTCGTCCAACGTCCGCCTGCAGGAGGACATGCCAGACCTAACTTTAGGTGTGCAGACACGTTCTCACCTCTCTCGCGGCCGCTCTCCTCACCCCCTCTCTCTTGTCCACTCGTGCTGCTGGTCCATTCGCAGCGCCGTCGCCCGTCATGCCCGAGCGCACGTGCGAGTTGCCGCCGCCGCGCTGCGACGTAAACAGTGCAGACACATCCTGCATCACCAAACTCTGGTGCCGCAGCCCCTGACTGCCATCTCGTAGTCCCAAGTGGTGGTCAGCGTGACGAGGGCCCTGCGCAGAGCGCCTGCGCAATTGGCCGGCCATCATCATGCAGACTACGAGACGGTGGTTGCCCCTGCTTGGCCAGGGTCTACCTGCGGAAACTGGCAGCAGCAACCACCCTCGCACGAGCCACGAATGGGGATATCAAAAGGTACCGACACCCCTGCTCCCTGGACCTCTCCCGGGGTGCGTTCCGACCAGGATGCCGAAGCGAATCCCGCGGTGGCGACGAGGGCCTCCCAGGAGGCCCCAAAAAGGGAAAAGCGGGCGAAGGGTAGCGGTACAGTGGAAACCCGTGCCAAGAACCATCTTGCTTGCCTCTGGGGTGCCCGGGGTGTCCTCGGTTTTTCGATGGCTCTGCAACACAAAAGTCAAGGGACGCCCCACACCCCAAAAGTCAAGGGACGCCCTGGGGTCTCAGGGTTGGGCTTCTTGTGGAAGGCTTCTTGTGGACTGGCCTCCGCGGTGTGGGTACCTTTTTTTGCCTCCTCTGGGCGGCGGCGTGGCTGCCAGGGGTCGGGTGCGCGGCCGGCGTCTGCCCAGCAGGCGGCGCAGCTCAAGCAGGCGCGGGGCGAGCTGGCGGGCTGGTACGAGGTGCTCAACGGCGAGGTGGCCCTGCGCGCCGGCAGGCGCGGCGTCCACCACGAGGCCACCCGGCTCGTGGAGATGGACGACCGCACCTGGGACGAGCTGCTGGACGACGAGCAGGAGCGGGGGGCGCCGACTGTGGTCCGAGGGGAAAAGGGATGGTGCGCACGCCGGTACCTCTCCCCTGCCCTCGTCTTTGTCGCCTTCTCGGGCCACCTGGGAGGCACCCTTCGCCACGGCCGACTTCGCGCCGAGATGCTGGTCAGAGCGCACCCGGGGAGAGGTCCGGGGATTGGCGCGGTATCGGTACCTCGTGCGTTCCCCATAGGATGCACCTGCGCCGGTACTGGCCAGCCAGATTCTGAGCCCAGAGGGTCGGTGTGTAGCCGGGGCGGCCAACAGAGGAGCTGATGCCTGCTGCCAGCCTGAAGCAGATATCCTTGTCCATATGATTTGCATCGCCTAGTTTCGACGTCGATGTGAAGGGTTCTCTCAGTGTCGCAGGTCACATCCATCGCCTTTGAGCTAGTCAATCTCAGGGACAGGGATGAGCTCGGGGCGGGTTAGACTATAGGAGGGGTGGGTATCATGGCTGGGGTCCTGCTGTCTCCCCGGATCCCCCGGTCCCCTCCTTTCAAGGCGTCCCTTGGCGCGCATGTGCCTCGGGCGATGACTTGCGAACGTCATTTTTGCACGCCCCCCTCTTTTGGACTCGACTATGCGTAAGAGAAGAGTGACCTTTCTCCAGAGTGACCTTTGGTGCGGGCCCAGTGGGACCCCCCGATCGCCGAACGCGATGCGGTATTAGCGTCTTGCGCGCTCGTGTTTGGTCCCCCCGCGGCCCCCAATGGACCGCGCACCAAAGGTCACTCTTGCCCAGGGTCCCTCTTGCGTGTCGTCGGTGGGCTCCCACGAGCAGAGGCCGTCCCGGCCGAACCAGGAGGCCGTGTGCACCGAGCTGTTGGGGCCCAGGGTGGGCCCCGCCAGGGTCGGTGCAGGTGCAATCTAGTTTTGAGTCGTGCACGTTCCTCTACAGGAGGACGATTTAGGAATGGTAAAAGATAATCTGGGGGCGATGTGTTGACTACTTGTTGTTTTGGTTTCTGCTGGGCTCTCCGACAGGAGGCGGACCCATACTCGCAGCACTGGACGGGGCCGTTCCAGCAGCAGACGGGGCTGGGGGAGTCGGCGAGGTACTTCTTCGACCTGGAGGCCCACGAGTTCCGCTGGACGCAGGAGGCCCGCGCCTTGACACTGCACCTGGACGAGGTCTCCGAGCTCGTCAACCAGGCTGGGCCGCCCACGGCCTGATCCGATGCGATTCGCCAGCCAGGGCGTCGATTGAGATCCGATTCAATCCGATTCGGTTCACTAGCATCGGTTGCGGCCGGTCACAGTTGGTTCGGGACGATTGACTGGCGGTCCGATCCGCATTCGATCCGATCCGATTTCGCAGCTCGATTGAGTTCAACCTTGCCAGGCCGGGGACGAGGTGCGGCAGGCGCTGAACGAGGACTCTCAGCCACGCGCAGAAGGGGGGTAGGGGGAGGGGCTTCTTGGAAGCGCCCCTGCTTCTAAGTCTTCCTCCCTCCCCCTACCCCCCTCTGCTCGCCGCTAATACCTAAGAGAAAAAGAAGCTGAACCATACAGTGACGATGACGATGACGATGCTTGTTAAAGGCTGAGCGCACTCTGCACCCGTGACGATGGTGTCGGGCTTGCTCAGCGCTTTGGCGAAGCTGGGATGCAGACTTGGTGCCTGAGCTCTTTGAGCCCACATGACCTGATCCATGCCATCTCGGAGCTCCGCGCGGATTATTTCTCGGACCGGCGCGGTTTGTCTCCCTTTGCGACGCTTTTCCGGCGCCACTTTCGGCACGCTCCGTGCGCCATCCGGGGGGTTGGTCCAGCGCCGATGCCAAGGACTCCGCGCGGACCTGGAAGGCATGTTTTTTGTTTGTTTGTGTGTGTGCTGCCGAATGCATTCTTCGCTTTGTTCACCGAAGGCAAACAACGATGTCGCGTAATGAAGACACTTGTTTCTGCTTGTTGCGTGCCACAACAAAAAGGATGGCACCGCAGATTGCCTTCAGTGGAAAGGCGGATTCAAGCATGCTGCCTTCAAGCTCATCGGTCCACAAAGCTTGCCTGCAGAAAGTGGTGCTCCTGCTGTTGCTGCCTCCTCCGAGGACGACGACGCACGACGAACCAGAGTGTGCAGAGGTCCCGGCCAGCTCCAGAGCACAGCCGTGCACGAGAGTCGTCCGGGTGTTCTCGGTGACTGCAGGAGAGCTGCCCTTGATGGGGCCCCAGACGGCCCCTGACTTTTCAACGTTCAAGCAGTGGCGAAGCGTCCCGGCTCGCCGATAGCCCCACCAAACAATGTTCTAAGAACTTTTTGTGGTTCCCACGAAATGTTCTTAGAACCTTTCTGGCTGGGACTGTCTTGTGTTAACACATCGGGTCTATGTTCTAAGAACATTGTTTTGTTCTTAGCACATTTTCGGGTTCTAAGAACATTTCGTGGTATGACTATAGGAATGCCGGGACGGTCGGTCCCTGCTCAAACCGTGGGCCTTCAGTGCCCCCCCGCGAACCCGCGAGGACGAGGACGACCCCGTCGCCGAGTCGTCCGACGACGGGGAGAGCCACGGGGCGGGCGAGCGGCGGGCGCGGCAGCTGCACTCCACCGACTCCGACGGGGTGGCCCCCGGAGAGCTCCGCAGAAGGACGCTGTCGGCGAACGTCGGGCAGGCCGTGGGCGGAAATGCGCAGGTGCAAGAAATCCGCGCGGAGCGCCAAAAGTCTATGTTCATGGCGTTTATTGCTTGTTTTTGTTATTGTGTTGTTGTTGTTGTTGTTGGTGTTGTTGTTGTTGTTGTTGTTGTTGTTGTGGTTGTGGTTGTGATTGTGGTTGTTGTTGTTGTTGTTGTTGTTGTTGTTGTCGTTGTCGTTGTCGTTGTCGTTGTCGTTGTTGTTGTTGGGGTCGTCGTTGTTGTTGCTGCTGTTGTTGTTGTCGTTGTTGGTGTTGATGTTATTCTTGTTGTTGTTGTTGAATTCTCATTTCTGAAGAATAATTATTGTTGATCCCCCCCACCAGTGCACACTGTTTTTTCTGAATCAAAGTGTGCCCGTCGACGCTCGCACCCTGTTTTTTGACAGGGAAAGTCTTGCTGCTCAAACTGGGCCCCTGGCCCCCGGGTTACAACAACAACGGTTCCCGCTTGAGACTTCCTGACAATTTAGCCAGATACCCCCCTCCCGCCCGAGAACTCTCGCATTATATTCAGGAATCGCGCTCTCGCTTGGGACGTCCGTATAATTTATGCAGGAATCGCTCTCCCGGCGCTCTGGAGTCGCGCTCTCGCTGGAGACTTGCTTGCAACTTACTGAAGAATGGCCTTGCGTTGGAATTTCCCACAATTTGCCCAAGCGCCGCGCTCCGGACACCCAGGCACCCATGAGGCGCGCCCGTTGTGGCCCCATGTGCATGCCCTTCGTGGCCCCGCTGTCGCTATTTGTGTCCCCCTCACTGTCCTACGTGGCCCAGTTGCTACCCTCAGTGGCCCCATAGTTGCCTTCTGTGGCCCCGCATTATCTGCACTTCGTGGCCCCCGCTCGTTCGCGCTCTTCGTGGCCCCATACGCATTCCCTTCGTGTCCCCGCTGTCGCCCTTCGTGGCCTACTTCGTGCCCTTCGTGGCCCTGCTGTCGTTCTCTCTCGCTCTCGCTTTCGCTCGTCGTCGCGTCGTCGTCGTCGCCGTCGTCCGTCGTCGTCGTCGTCGTCGTCGTCGTCGTCGTGGTCGGTCCCCTGTCCGTCCCTCTTGGGGTCGGGTCGACGGTCCGCGGCCGCCCCGCCGATCAGCGCTGCCGCTGGCCAGGCCGACGGTCCGCGGCCGCCCCGCCGCTTGCCGGGGTCCGGCCTGCAGGGAAGAAAGGTATACCCCTCAATAGGGGCTCGATCGGAGACGAAGAGGGCGGGTATCGAGGGTTTGGGAAATACGCGCTATTGGACACTTGAGCATATAAGGGCGAACAGTCTTAAACATTGATGTTGTTGTGGTTGTGGATGTGGTGGTTGTTGTGGTTGTGGATGTGGTGGTTGTTGTCGTTGTCGTTGTCGTTGTCGTTGTCGTTGTCGTTATCGTTGTCGTCGTTGTTGTTGTTGTTGTTGCTGTTGTTGTTGTTGTTGTTAATGTTATTGTTACTGTTAATGTTAATGTTAATGCTAATGTTAATGTTAATGTTAATGTTAAGGTTGTTGTTGTTATTGTTGTTGTTGTTGTTGTTGTTGTTGTTGTTGTGGTGGTTGTTGTTGCTGCTGTTGTTGTTATTGTTGCTGTTGTTGGAATAAACGGGGGTTGGGGCCCCGGGCCGCCCCCCCAGCAACCAGCAACCAGCAACAATCCCTTTGGGAGGCCCACCGAAGCTTCATTTCGGTGGATTTCCCTTGGGGATTGGTGCTTTGGCCCCACAGGGCGCTCCACCGGAGCTTCATTTCGGCACACCCATCTCGAGGATCGCGGCCCTGGCCTCGCAGGGAACCCCACCGAAACTTCATTTCAGCACATCCTTTTCGAGGATCGTGGCCCTGGCCCGACAGGGAGCTGGACCGACGCTTCATTTCGGCACAACACTCTCGAGGATCGTGGCCCTGGCCCCACAGGGAGCTCGTCCCAAGCTTCATTTCGGCACACCCCTCCTGAGGATCTCGGCCCTGGCCCCACAGGGAGCTCCACCGAAGCTTCATTTCGGTACACCCCTCTCGAGGATCGTGGCCCTGGCCCCACAGGAAGCAAAACCGAAGCTACATTTCGGCGGACACCTCTCGAGGATCGTGGCCCTGGCCCCACAGGGAGCCCCACCGAAGCTTAATTTCGGCGCACACCTTTCGAGGATCGTGGCCCTGGCCCCAAAGGGAGCCCATCCGAGTTTCATTTCGGCACACCCCTCTCGAAGATCGTCGCCCTGGCCCCACATGGAGCTCCACCGAAGCTTCATTTCGGCACGCCCCACTCGAGGATCGTGGCCCTGGCCCCACAGGGAGCTCCACCGAAGCTTCATTTCGGCGGACACCTCTCGAGGATCGTGGCCCTGGCCCCACAGGGAACTCCACCGAAGCTTCATTTCGGCGCACACGTTTCGAGGATCGTGGCCCTGGCCCCACAGGGAGCTCCACCGAAGCTTCATTTCGGCACAACCCTCTCGAGGATCCTTGCCCTGGCCCCACAAGGAACGCCACCGAATCCTCAATTCGGCATACCCATCTTGAGGATCGTGCTCTTGGCCACACAGGGAGCTCCCTGGCCCAACAGGGAGCTCCACCGAAGGCGACTTTCTAAGGGGGCTCGCTTTCGGGAAAGGGGCTTCGGGGTTGGGCGCACGCAACATCCAATCCTTGTCCTCTTCGGTCGTCAGCTGGATCCGTACACGTGTTTTGCGGCGCAGGCGCCGTGGCAGCTCCGCGGTCGGGGCGTTCGCCGTCCCCGCGCAGCCGATGGCACAACTGCAACTCGAGGGGGTGCATTCCCTAACCCGGGGGGCCTCAATGGGGGAGCTTTTGACACCCACCCACCCTACCCCTTTCCGCCAGTTGCAATCCACCTCCCTTCGGGGGGGGGGTGGCGGGGTCGCAAAACGGCGCCCCGCCAGCAGGCCTGCAATTCCCCTGGCGCTCCCTTTGCGGCATGGTTTGCCGACCCCAGGAAAACATACACCTTCCCTGCATTCCTCCTCTCCTCCCCATCTTGCCTCGTCCTCTACCTTCTCCCTCCACCTCTGCAAGGGGACGGCTGGGATGGGCCACCGGTAGGACAGGCAGGGCGCCCGTTGCCCGAAACTTCATTTCGGCACACATCTCTCGAGGATCGTGGCCCTGGCCCTACAGGGAACTCCACCGAAGCTTCATTTCGGCACACCTCTCTCGAGGATCGTGGCCCTGCCCCCACAGGGAGTTCCACCGAAGCTTCATTTCGGTACACCCCTCTCGAGGATCGTGGCCCTGGTCCCACAGGGAGCCCCACCGAAATTTCATTTCGGCACACACATCTCGAGGACCGTGGCCCTGGCCCCACAGGGTGCTGGGCCGACGATTCATTTCAGCACACCCCTCTTGATGATCTTGGGCTTGGTTCCGCAGGGAGCTCCGCCGAAGCTTCATTTCGGCACCCATCTCTCGATGATCCTGGCCCTGGCCCAACAGAGAGCTCCACCGAAACGTCGTTTCGGCACACCCCTCTCGAGGACCGCGGCCCTGGATCTCGCAGGGAGCTCCACCGAATCCGCAGTTCGGCACACCCCTCTCGACGACGACGGCTCGTAGACAACCCACAGCCCAACGGCTGCAGACAGCTTGAAGACGGCCGAAGCACGGCGAGATGCGGTGATAACCTGATTTTGAAAAAGGAACAATATGTGGTTAGGACGGATCGGTCCCCCCTTTGGGCCTTCTTCTGGTGCTGGTGTGGACCTCCACCTCGAAGCCTCGGCCTACAAACCGCCTCCCTCTGGGATCCTCCTCCAGGGGCCCCTGAGCAGGCACCTTCCAGACGAGAGCACAGTTTTCAAACAGAACCGCTTGCATCAAATGCTGCGCCTCCCCATGGGTCCCGCCTCTGGGCATTATCCTTGTGCTGGTGTGCTAATTGGATACTAGCAGAGCGGGATCCATATCTATTAGGATGTTATTAGAGTTGGGTTCCACCCATAACAGGTTTGCATGAGAGCTGGACCCACCACGGACAGGTTTCTATTCGAGCTGGATCCACTCCGAGCATGATTCTATTAGAGCTGGATCCGTTCCTAATACGGTTCTGTTAGAGCTGGGTTCATCACTAATACGATTATATTAGAGCTGGGCCCACCCGTGATAGGAGGGTGGAGGAGCTGGATCCACTCCCAATATAATTCTATTAGAGCTGGAGCCACCCTTGATGTGATTCGACTAGAGCTGGATCCAATCCCGATCAGAGTCTAGTAGAGCTGGATCCACCCCTAATCGGATTGGATTCCATCAGCAGTGGATCCCCTCTTACACGGATTCGAGTAGAGGTGGCTTCCAAACCGGATTCTAGTAGAGGTGGAACCAATTTTAATACGACTTTATTCGAGCTGGATCCACTCCTAATAGGGTTCTATCAGAGCTAGACCCATTCCTTCTAGGACTCTATTAGAGTTGGACCCACTCCTGGTAGGATTCTATCAGAGCCCGACCCATTCCTAACAGGACTCTATCAGAGTTGGGTATACTACTATATCGGCTTCTATCACGGCAAGATCCACTCCTGACAGGATTATATCACAGCTGCATCTACTACAACTCGGTTTCTATCAGAGCTAGAGCCACTCCTAATCGGATTCTATCAGAGCTGGACTCACCACTGATAGGACCCTAGTACAGCTGGATGCACCGCTCATAGGATTCTTTCAAAGCTGGACCCACCAGTAATAAGATTCTATCAGAGCTGGATCCACCACTAATAGGATTCGACCAGAGCTTGGTCAACCACTAATAGTATTGTAGTAGAGGTGGACCCACCACTAATAGGATTGTAGTGGTGGTGGATCCACCACGAATAGGATTGTAGTAGTGGTGGATCCACCACGAATAGGATTGTAGTAGAGGTGGACCCACCACGAATAGGACTGTAGCAGAGGTAGATCCACCACTAATAGAACTGTAGTAGACGTGGATCCACCACGAATAGGCTTGTAGTAGAGGTGGACCCACCACGAATAGGATTGTAGTAGAGGTGGACCCACCACGAATAGGACTGCAGCAGAGGTGGATCCACCACTAATAGGATTGTAGGAGAGGTGGATCCACCACTAATAGGATTGTAGTTAAGGTGGATCCACCACGAATAGGACTGCAGCAGAGGTGGACCCACCACTAATAGGATTGTAGTAGAGGTGGACCCACCACTAATAGGATTGTAGTAGAAGTGGATCCACCACTAAAAGGATTGTAGTAGAGGTGGACCCACCACTAATAGGATTGTAGTAGAGGTGGACCCACCACTAATAGGATTGTAGTAGAGGTGGACTCACCACTAATAGGATTTTAGTAGAGGTGGATCCGCCACCAATGGGATTGTAGTAGGGGTGGATCCACCACTAATATGATTGTAGTAGAGGGTGATCCACCACTAATAGGGTTGTCGTAGAGCTGCCTCCACCAGTAATAGGATTTTATCCGATCTGGATCCACCCCTAAGGATCCGATAGGACCCCGTAGATTCCGGAGCTTCGCTGATCCAGACACGGCGGAATGGCATGGAGGATGAGTCCACACCTTTAAGCGAGCAAATTCGCCAGCGGAGCAGGGAACGGTGCCCCAAGTTGCTGTTTGCTGGTTGCTGGTTGCTGGTTGCTGGGGGGGGTCCGAACCAGCCAATGGGGCACAGACGCGCGGTTCCACCTTAGGGAAGAACGCGGGTAACGAAGGCCGGGACCATGGGGCACTCTCGCGCGGTTGTTCCTTGTTGTTGTTATTATTGAACATTATTTCTTCTTAAGAATAATTATTGTTGGGCCCCCCGGTGCACGCCCCCCCCGCCGCGCCTAGGCCGCAGCCCCATTTTCATCATTTTCGTGAGGAAGCCTCAGGTAAAACGATGTGATCCAGATCCGGTTGTTTTGTTGTAATCCGTTTTCCCTTGCAAAAAACACTATAAAATGACATTTCTTGTTCTAATATAATCAAATTTCAAGAATCCCTTGCAAAAAATAAGGTAAAGTGGACATTCGCGCGCGCAAGACGAAATCCTTCCAAAAGCTTAGTGTTCGGAGCGATTTTAACATAAAAACATCAAAAAACCAATGGTTTTTCAACAAAAAAATGTCAAAATCTCATCCCGCGCGCTCTTGCGGATTCGTAGGAAACCCAACACTTTTTAAACATTTCTGTCAAACGGGCTTTTGCGAGCAACTTTTTCGAACTTCTGCGACAACGGTTGCGCACCTGCCAGGGCCATCATCCCTGTCAAATAATACCATGCGGGACACATTCGTTTTTTCTTCGCGCGCGCACGCCGTCGTCGTCGGCCGCGGGGCCCTGAATAGTAGCCACGGTCGTCCGCATGCCACGAAGTGAAGTGTCCGAACGTCATAGGGCGGGAAGCTGGGTGTGGGTGGTGGCGAAGAGTCGTTTGGAAATTTGGTAGAGCTTGAACCGGCCCCCCCACAAAGTGGGGGTATTGCCCGCCTCCTATGAAAACCCTGGCACTGGTGAGAACGGAGTGTCCCCAGTCTGAAATGATTGTTGTTATTGTTGTTGTGGTTGTTGGTGTTGTTGTTGAACATTATTTCTTCTTAAGAATAATTATTGTTGGGACCCCTGGTGCGCGCCCCCCCCGCCGCGCCTAGGCCGCAGCCACGTTTTCATCATTTTCGTGAGGAAGCCTCAGGCAAAACGGGTTGGTCCAGATCCGGTTGTTTTGTTGTCCCCCGCTTTCCCTTGCAAAAAATAAGGTAAAGTGGACATTTCTTGTTCTAACATAATCAAACTTCAAGAATCCCTCGCAAAAAATAAAGTAAAGTGGACATTCGCGCGCGCAAGACGAAATCCTTCCAAAACCTTAGTTTTCGTAGCGATTTTTTAATAAAAACATCAAAAAAACAATGTTTTTTCGAAAAAATGTCAAAATTTCATCCCGCGCGCTCTTGCGGATTCGTAGGAAACCCAACACTTTTTAAACATTTCTGTCAAACGGGCTTTTGCGAGCAACTTTTTCGAACTTCTGCAACAACGGTTGCGCACCTGCCAGGGCCATCATCCCTGTCAAATAATACCATGCGGGACACATTCGTTTTTTCTTCGCGCGCGCACGCCGTCGTCGTCGGCCGCGGGGCCCTGAATAGTAGCCACGGTCGTCCGCATGCCACGAAGTGAAGTGTCCGAACGTCATAGGGCGGGAAGCTGGGTGTGGGTGGTGGCGAAGAGTCGTTTGGAAATTTGGTAGAGCTTGAACCGGCCCCCCCACAAAGTGGGGGCATTGCCCGCCTCCTATGAAAACCCTGGCACTGGTGAGAACGGAGTGTCCCCACGTGCTAGTAATTGTTGTTGTTGTTGTTGTTGTTGTTGTTGCTGCTGTTGTTGTTGTTGTTGTTGTTGTTCTGTTGATTTTCCCAAAAATAGAAGATCGAATGAAGGCATTCATGCTCCCTGCAGGAGGAAGTTTGTTGTTTTGCGGCGGCATGCTGGCAACGGGAGGGAAGCCATGGGCTCACGGATTGCCGCCGTGTCTCTCGGGCGGGTGGCAACGGGGAGGGGCCCACACGGGGGGTGAAGAGAAAGGTCCTACAGGGGCCCTTTGAGGCTCCTTTTGGGGCGCCAGCTGGCTCCAAAAAGGGCCCTGAAGGGCCCTTTTCTTGGCATCATTCGGACGTGTGCATGTTCCCTTCGGCAAGGACCATCGAGGACCATCCTTGATCATTTGGCGAAAACACCACGCACGAAACCGAAAAAAACACAGGAAATGGACGTCCGAGCGATGGCCAGTTTTCTTCACCCCCCATGTGGGTCACCCCCCATTGCCACCCGCCCGAGACTCAAGGCACAAATCTCGCAGAGATTGTTTCCGGTCTGAAGGCATCGCGTTTTCTTGCCTTCTGTGACATAATGGGCTGGCCTCCAGCCAGTGCCGCCGATCCGGGCGGTTTGGGCTCCGGAATTTGAGTTTTCTAATACCCCCCTGTCCCCGGGTACCGAAAAACATCGGAAATGACGTCGGAAATAACGTACGCCCCCCTCCCCCCCTGCAGAGCGAAGCTTGAGCGAGCTCAAGTCGACGCTCTCAGAAACTCACATGCCGGATCGGCGGATTTCTGCCTCAAGTGGAACATGCCTTCGGGCAGTGTCGTGGGCGGCAGGCGTGTCCGTGTCTCCACGGCCCCGCGGGCCGGGCCCCGGGGGACCGCGATGCCCCGCGGAAGCGGGGCGCTTTTTGTCCGCGGATGCCCCGCTCGAAGCGCATCCAGGCGGCCGCGCAACCGAGGGATCGCGCGCCAAGAATTCAGACCGCGACGGCGCGGACATGGATCGAAGAAGAGAAAAACGTCATAGACATGATTTGTTGGCGCTCCGCGCCGACTTCTCGGATCAGTGCAGTGCCCCCCCCCTGGCAGAGGCGCGCTCCGCGCGCCAGGGTGGGGCATCCGGCGCAGATCCCAGAAATCCGTTCGGAGCGCCAAAAGTTTGTGTTTGTGCTGTTTTTCTTTTTTAGTGGATACGCTGGCCGCTCGCGAGAAGGCCTTGAACTGGGCGCAGAGGGGCATCCAGGACCGGATGTTCTTCAAGCCGCAGAGGTTGCCCTGGCAGGCCCTGTTTCTCTCTTCCTCTCCTGTTTCTCGGCGTCACAGGCCTCCGCCATCGCTCGGACATGTGCGTCTTTTCCTTGGCGAGGACCATCGAGGAGCATCCTGGACCATCGTGCGGAAAACAAGCGCACGAAACCGAGCAATGCACAGGGAATGGCCGTCCGAGCGATGGCGGGGCGAGAGCTAGGGCCCTCAGGCTCGCAAATCGATGGTCCAGCCTGCACGGTGCAGGCTGGCAGGGTCGCAGACCTGGTGTCGAGGTCTCCCCTCTCTCTTCGCCTCCTGCCGCCGGCCCTCCGCTGGGCGCCGGGGCCTCCATGGAAGCGGGCCCGAGATGTCAGCGTCGAACTCTCCCTTCTCCTCCTCCTTCTCCTCCTCCTCCTCCTCCTCCTCCTCCTCCTCCTCCCGGGGTCGACAGGGTGTCGACAGTCCTCATCCTCTTCCCGCAGTCCTCCTCCACTCCCTGCGGGTCGATCAAAATGGGTAACCGAGAAGGGTCTTTGATTTTGTCCCCCCCCCCCTGTTTCTCTCGGCGGGGAACAAGATCGATCCTCCTCCTCCTGCTCCTCCAACTCCCCCCCCTCCTCATCCTGCTCCTTCTCCTCCTCCCCTTCTTGCTCCTCCTGAGCCTTCTCCTCCTTGTCCTCCTGCTCCTCTTCGTGGTCGTTATCGTCGTCATCGTCGTCGTCGCCGCGGCGGAACTCAGTTTCCCTTTACTGTTGGACGGACTACATAAGGTTGAGGGCTTCTTTGTTCCCCAGGGGATAATCCATTGTGGGCTACCCTACTCCGGAGAGGATTCGTGAGTATTTTCTCAGGGAGATTGCAATATGAATCAGTTGTTGTGGCTGCAGTCGTTTTTGTTAGTCGTGAGTGTAATCTGTTGAAATCGCGATTCCAATCGTGAGTGTAGTCGCCATTGTAACTGTAATCGTAGTCGCGGTTGTAGTCGCCATCGTAGTCGTCATCGTAGTCGTCGTCGTCGTCGTCGTCGTCGTCGTCGCGGCGGAGCGTATTGTCCCTCTATTGTTGGGTGGGCGGGAGAATGTGGGGAGTTTCACCAGAGAATAACCCAGTGTAGGTACCCTACACGCGAGAGGACGTGTGAGCATCGTTTATCCGGATTGCATATGAATCAGTGGTTGCGGTTGTGGTCGTGATTGTAGTCGTGCTTGTAATTGCGATTGCAATCGCGATTGTAGTCGTGAGTCTAGTCGTAATGGCAGCCGTGGTTGTAGTCGCAGTCGCAGTCGCAATCGAAGTCGTAGTCGTCATTGTTGCGCGGCGGCACATGTTTATCCGCTATTGGTGACCGTCAAGAAGGGCGTCGAAGATGATAATTCGTGTCTACTATTGGGGGTTGCCTAAAGACCAAAGTCGGTTACGGAAAGTATGGGTACGATACCCAACAGCAGTTCCTGTTCATTTGAACAGGATTCGCTGTTCGCGCCGCCGCGGACGTTGTTCATTGAAGACACAACGGCTTCTGTCCAACAGCGGCCGCTGTCGGTATTGGACAACCTTTCTTCCGCACCAGGTTCGGGCGTCCAGATCCTTCCTCCTCCCCTCCCGGGCTCTGTGCCGCGGAGGCCTGCATAGGGCGGTGCGGCGGGCGGGCCGGGTGCCCTGGGGCTCCCCGCTCTCCCACGAGCTCTCGCCGCGACAGCCCGGCCGAACGCAAGGGGGGGATAGGGTTATGTCGGGCGTGTCCCCCTACAGGGGGATTTTCGACATGAAATATTTAAAACAATACCCCAAACATACCCCAAAAGTGTCAAAGCATGTTCAAAAAATAGTCCCCAGGCTATTTTTGGATTATTTCTTGATTATTTTTGGGGTATCTTTTATTTTTCGTCGACAATCCCCCTGTAGGGGGACAGGCCCGACTTAAGGATAGGGAGAGGGGGGGCTACGACATCTGCTGCAGGCACCTGGCTTGCCGCCCCGCCGCCGGGCGCATTCCTCGATTCATGGGCGCCTCCTGGCGCCGGGAGGCGCCGGGAAGACCAGCTGCGTGAGCAGATTCTCTGGCCTACCCTTAAGTCGGGCCTGTCCCCCTACAGGGAGATTTTCGACGAAAAATTAAAGATACACCAAACATAATGAAAAGATAGTCCAACAATAGTTTGTTTTTTTGTATTTTGTTACCTTTTTGGTGCATTTTTGGGGTATCTTTATTTTTCGTCGAAAATCCCCCTGTAGGGGGACACGCCCGACATAACCCTACCCTTTGCTACCCTCCCCTTTCGTGCCCTCCCCCCTTCCGAGATACGGGGTGGTGGGAGTACGTACGGCCGAGACGCCAGCACAAAGGGGCACTGTTTGGGGGCGCGCCGAGGGTGGCCGTGACAGGGGGTAGGCCTTCTCAGAAGGCGGTGGGCCTCCTCCTCCTCGTCCTCCTCACCCTCCTCCGCCTCCTCCCCCTCCCCCTCCCCCTCCTCCTCCAAGGCGGTGGGCCTTTGGAGGAGGCTCCTGTGGAATAGACGCCGCGGGAGGCTGGCTGCCTCAGGAGCCTTCCGAGGCGGCTCGCCCCCTCATCTGTTTCCCCCCCCCCCCCCCGGGGCGCGCCGCCGAAAAGGAAGGGCCACCCCGAGTTCGTCAGTATCGTTTAACCGACCCCCATCTCCATCCCCATCCTCTTCGAGACCCCCACCAAATTACCATTCCAGCTGGGGATACACCCCACGAAACCCGAAGGGAACAACTTATATCTCCATCTGCGGGGGTAAATCGGCCATTGGGGCCCAGGCCACGGCGCTGGGGATGGGGATCAGTTCAACGATGCTCAGTTCGGGAGCGGTTTTCGGACCTTCTCTTGGATGCAGGTGCGAGGCCCTGGAGTCCACACCCGCATGGTAAGGATGGGCGACCCTCCCAAGGGCACCCCCTTGCATCGCTACATCCCCGTTCCGGCCCTGGCCGCTCCCGTCGGCCGCCGCCCCGCTCGAAGAAGCTTCGACATGGGCGTCCGAGGCCCCTGCATCGCGATCGCGCATCCTTGTGATGCGGGCCGGCTGTAGTCAGGAGGGAAAAAACACACAGACACAAGGAATCGCCGACCCCCAGGAGAAAATGTGGGAAACTATGGGAGGCGGGGGGGGGGGAAGACGACAATCCAGAACACATGGTAAGTTATGGGGAATCCTGGGGCTTGTCTGTATTTATCTGCGTTTCCTCCCTCCTCTTCTTTGCCTAATTCAAGCTTCGCGCGGCCCGCTTAGCTTCGACCGGAAGAGGTGCGCTCTCGACCCGCGGATCAAAAAGTATTTATCTGCGTGTCCCTGGGCCCCTTGATGTGGTCGTGGCCGGGGCCCGCATGGGGAGGCGTGCCGCTGCCCCACGGGCCCGTGCACGGGCCCCCCCGAGGGCGCTCCAGGGGGGGGCCGCGGCCTCTGGAGATCGAGGAGGATCTCCTCCTCCTCCTCTCCCTCCTCCTCCTCCTCCTCCTCCTCCTCCTCCTCCTCCTCCTCCTCCTCCTCCTCCTCCTCCTCCTCCCCCGTGGCGTGCCGTTTTTTGGGGGCTCGGGACCGAGCTGTCCGAAGCCGTCCAGCTGGGTGGGCCCCAGGTCTGTGCGAGGGGGACCTCCCGGCCCTGCCGTGGCCCGATGGCCGCAAGGCCCCAGGCCCAAGTCGAGCCCGTGGAGTCCTGGTGGCGGCACTGGCGGTGGGCAGTTGCCTTCCCCTCAGAGAAGAGAGGGGAGGGTTTGGTCAGAGGAGTGAGGAGGAGGGCGAGAGGTAAGGAGGAGGAGGAGGAGGAGGAGGAGGAGGAGGAGGAGGACGTGTAGGAGGAGGAGCAGCAGGAGGAGAGGAGAGAGATCGGACGGAAGTTGTGGAGGAGATCGGCAAAGGGGCGTGCTTGGTCTGATCCCCTTCCCTCCCCACCCCCCCTCTTCCGCCTCGCCATGTCCGCATTCTCCTCTTCCGTGTGCTTGTCGTCCTCCTCCTCCTCCACCTCCTCCCCTCCTCCTCCTCCTCCTCCTCCTCCTCCTCCTCCTCCGCTACTCTTTCCACCTTCCCTGCCATCTACCTGCATCTGGTGCTTCAAGCCGCCAAGGCCACCCGAACGAGGTAAAACAACGGGGCCGTCTGCTCGGACACTGGCGCGTGAGCTGTCCGCGCAAAGGTCGCGCGCCCGCGCCCTCGCTTTCGATGCCGCGTGCCGCGCTGGCGACCCGCCGACGCCACCGCGTAGGGTCCCCATGGCATCTCGCGTGAGAACCACGTCTGTCTCGTAGTATGGCGGGCCTGTCCCCCTACAGCGGGATTTTCGACGAAAAACAAAACATGTCCAACAAATAATCCAAAAATGCTCCAACAAAAGTCGGGGGACTATTTTTTGAATATTCTTTGACCTTTTTGGGGCATCTTGGGGGTATTGTTATTTTTTCGTCGAAAATCCCCCTGTAGGGGGACAGGCCCGACTGAAGTCTAGTAGTCACGGCCTCTGCCCTGCCGTGGCGGGCTGAACCTGCCAGCACCTCCGGCTCTCCACTGGCCTGGTCGCGGCGGACGCAGGGCAAGACACGCGCGGGAGCAGTCTTGGCTGTCGGCGGGTGCGCACCGGACCCGCGGTCTGGCTCGCAGCTTCGGCGGGAGGAGGAGGAGCAGGAGGACCAGAGTGAACCCAATATGAACCTACCGATGCTGGAATACACCCTCCTTCCCAAGTCCCCTCCATATGAGTCCTTACAACTCCTATCCACTGTGAATGGCGAGCGGCCTGTCGGTCCTCCTGTCGCAGCGAGGGCGCCTGTTGTAAAAGATCCTCCGATCCACATGGAGGACGCTCAAAATAGCCCCATTTGATCAATCACGCGCCCTTCATTCGTCCGAGCATGGCAGGATGTCAATGTCGTGGACGTATGCTCCGCGGGAGTCCCACGCGAGAGCCCTCCAAGGAGGCCCAGGGATAGCTTCATTTTGAACAGAACGTGCCCTCCGTCCCTCTAAGAGGGACAGAATGTCAAAGTCGTGGACGTATGGTCCGAGGAAGTCTCTCATG